TCTCTGAGTGCTGCGAACTCGCTGTTCTATGCTTTTTGTCATCGTCCACGATGCTGAGCCGTATAACAATGTCGGAGACACCGTTCCGTTGAACAGCCGCAACCGGTCATGGAAAGAATATGATCTCGGCGTTAGCTCTTGTTTGAACATCCCAAACTTCCTCCAGGCTGCCTTAATGCGTGCGTCCACCTCGATATCCGCTGATGCAGAAAATGTAAATGTTCGGCCCAAGTACTTCTGCGTCAGGGCGTCGTTACTGGACGGGCTGGTGAGGATACTTTTTTTTTACAGCCGCAGGCGGAAGCGCCAGCGGCGGAAGGTCGCGAACGGGCCGCGGACGCGACTAAATTACCTAACGCGCGCAGGGCCGCGGATCAGGCGGCTCACGACAGCGTCCAGGGAAGACGATGCAGTCCAGGTGCCATGACAGCCCCTGAACGGGCATGCAGGTGCGTCCAACAGGCCTGAGGTAGGCACCGAGACCACCAATCGCAGCCAAAATGGCGCGAAAACGTTCCAACGTCCAAAAGCGAACAAGGGAACACTGGTGGGGATACGCGAAGCGTCTAGAATTTCCGATGTTCGCGGTTTGTGTCTGCCCTTTCTGGGCCTCTGCAGAGACTTCTGGGCCCGGGCCCCCTCCGCCACGAAACAATACAGTGGCTAGATTTGCAATGTCTTCGGCTCGGCCCCAGAGCGCCAAACATCGACTCGGGAACGCTTCGATCCCGGGGTCACGGGATCTGCCCCTGGCAGCCCCCGAGAAAGGCAACCCTCTCCGTTCGAGACGCTGCTCAGGGCGGCGTGGCGGGCGCGCCCATCTCCCGCGGGCTGGGCGAGCGGCGCGGCGTCGGCGCGCAAGGCCGTCGCGCAGACGGGCGCTGTCGCGCGAGCCGGGCGCCGACGCACGCAGGCAGCATGTCCGCGCGGGGCGGATCGCTTGCGACGAAGCCTCTCGGAGCCAATCGGCCGCGCATTCTTTGAGATGCCCCGTCGGGGCCCCGCGCGCCCCGCGCACTCGCCGACGCCTGGGGCGCCCAGAGGGTGCGCCCATGCATCGAGGATCCCAGCAACCATCGCGGGACCGCATGAGCACGATGGCGAGCGTTCTCTGCGTAGGCCACATCGTGCAGTCTTCTTTCCACGAAGGCCAGGGGAACAATGCACGTGATATCAGCTCCTTGCAGCATTCCCCTGTCGCGCTCGCATAACATCACGACGGTCTGACGATGCTAATTGCAAAACGTGTTAGGCCGCATCCTCTGACCGATGCCTGAATCGAACGGACCCCGCCAATCACCGGCGACGCTTTAGCGTACGTCCTTCATCACAAACATTGGATTCCACTGGGCACCTCAGCGAAGTTGTGCAATTGCGTGCGCGTGCGTGTGTGTGTGTGTGTGAGTGTGTGTGTGTGCGCGCGTACGTGCGTGCGTTCGGCTTGCGACTGAAGCCCTGCGCAGTCGCTTGACAATGAAACGCTACGTGAATGATCCATAGCCTAGCGGCCTGCAATGGGTCAGGGGGAGGCCACATGCTTGCCATATGCTTTTCACCATGATGAGCCAACGGGAATGCTGTGCCTGCCCCGTCCCACGAGTATTCTTGAATCCAGTGGCGACCGCGCATAGCACCCGTCGGCCGTGCTCAGCGAAGTTGCGCAGACATCCGCAGATCCCCTATCCCTCACGCGTTGGCCAGGCGTGCGGGGACACCCCAAGAGGCCCCCGAGAGGGGCGATTACCGTTGCGAAGCAAACGATCTCGGCGAGGAGGAAACGCCCGTCTGCGTCGTCCTGGCCGACTTGCAACAAACTCAACCTTTTTGTTAGATCAATCGCCCCCCACCAGCCTTAACGAACCACCGGCTGAACCTGGGTCAGGCCTTTCCAAAGCACACTCAACAACCAAAGACCCCATCGTGATTGTTGGGCGAAGAAGTGGGTCGCGCGTCTGATCCAAAACAGCCTTGACAATAGCTTGGGCCAGTGCTGCCCTTCGGAGATCATGCTCTCGGCATTTCCCCCGAAGCCGCTCTCGCAATGACCTTGGTTTGCTCTGGTTGGCGGTGTGCACGAGAGGGTGGCTCGAAGAGCGCGGCCTTCCGAGAAGGCGGGGGGCGTCTCAGAAGCAAAGGTCCTTCTAAGAAGGGCCTGGGAGCTTCTAGGGAAGGCTTCTTCGAAGCAAGGGGAGGTGCTGGGCCGCTTCCGCCGCCGAGCGCGTCGACCACCGCGACTTGATCGCAAGAGACCTTTCAAAACAGATCGCGATAGTGACGGCTTCCCAAAACACGAGCTTCAGAAACACCCTCGTCATGGCCCGCCCTCAGGGTCAGGAAGAGGGGCGCTGCGTGTCATTCTCAGAAGGCCACCCCACACCCCTCGCGCCACCCTCCTGCGCGCGCCGCCCCTCCAGGGCCAACGCCGTGCCCGTCACACTCGCGCCGCCAGCTCCAAGAGCCCTGCACGGCCTTCACAAACCTCACGTCGTGCCTTTTTGCGGAATTCCTGAGGACTCGGCCCCTTCCTCGGGAACGGTTTTTTTCGACGACGCAGGGGCTATGAATTTTAACTGAGCGTCTGAGGTTCGCTGCTGTGGTTGCACAGC